TAAGAAAAATATTCAAGAGACTTGCAACATCCCAAGCAGAACGAGTCACGATATTGTCGTTTTGAACGTTAAAGTGAATCTTGATAAACCAAAAAGTGACTTTAATAATCATTTTGGAGTCATTTTGATATTATAATGACTTTGTTTTCTGTTCAGGATTTTCCAATATCAGTTCCGACCTCGTATTCTTCTTCACTGCTTCTTTCTTCATCTTTTGTGAAATGCAGAATGCAGATTGAAAGCCATACGACATTCCCGTATACGACGAACTCTTCTTGACGGAGGATCCAGAGGTGGAAAAAATCAGCACCGGACGAAATTGCGAACGGGAGATTCGCGCGTTGATCGATCGATCGTGATCGCGTAAGGTGTTCGGTACCTTCGTTATCCCGAGGAAGAGATCCATGTCTCTGTTGGTCGGCAGTTGGCGTAGCACTGAGCTAAGCACTCTTAAGCGCAAGCTCAATGAAATCAGCAATCGCCAGGAATTGCCTCGAATTGGCCCAATCAAATCACCCCCCGTTCCCCGTACATGTACGCGTGTATATTAACCGCTAATTTTCGTTGTTGGTAATTAACACGCGTTTGTATACGCGCCGATTTCATCGCGCTCTCCACTCTGATCGCCCATCGCTCCGATCAACCCCAATCATCTTCTCAGTATTGTCTTGTCCCTGCTCGATTCCGTTACCTCCACACTTGAGTATGAATTATTCATTTTTAATTTATTTTATCTATCTTTTATTGTTTTTTATTAACTTTTGTACCGGTATATTAAATATATCTATTTATCTATTAACTGTTTTATTAAGAAACATATATATTTGAAGATATAATAATAAATTTAATATCTGTGGAAAAAATTATTTCTACAGGATTATTATTTATTGTTTGTTATGCAGATACATTAAAAGGTGCGACGAGACATCCATATAAATAATAATTAAATATATAACAATATTGATCTAAAATTATTATAAAATGTATTAAAATTTTATAATATATTAGTTTTATAATAAAAAAATTTGATAGAATAGAGTGCAAATTGTGTTGAAGAAAAACATTTTACATAGTTCTAAAATTGACCTCACGTTCCTTTCTTTATTGTTCTACCTGTCTAAAATTAAGCTACTTCCGCATTTTTAATCGTTGTAAGTTATAAGTATATCAATAATTGTACATTACACAACTGAATTTTATTTCACTTGTGATATATTTATTTTCTAGTCAAAACATGCACGTTCATTGACCATTTTTATCTCGAAAAAAGATCAACAGGAGGACTGAAATGATACGAGGGGAATATGACAATTAATAACAACTTTCAGGACGAGAAGGTGCGATAATGCGGGCGACCACGTCATTGTGACCTATCGTTTCGCCATTTTAACGCATAAACCTATGACAGCAGTTTATCGTTCAATCTAAACATTTAGACGTTATTAATTAATTTCTAGGAACTCGTGTTGTCATTGCAGCTTCAATGAATCATCAAACTTTAAAAAAAATAGAAAATTTTTTGTATTATAGATATATTATACCTACATACATTTTTTCAACTTATGTATGTATTATGTACATATATAAACTTTCCTCTTGCAAAAACTTTAGAAATATTAAATTATTTTTACAAAAATTAATTATTGTTAGAAGTATCGTTATTTCTTACATAAATTTCTTAGAATTATTAATTTTTTTCTAGATGTAAAAAAAAATGTAAAATATAAAGTATTCTTCTTCTAGACTAGACATACTTATAAAGGGCTTCTATTCCTTAGATTATATATTTCTAAGCTTTTAAAATCAATTCCCGAGTCATTGTTAGTGAACAAGGTGTTTCAATAGTGAGACCTCCTGCGGCGGCTTAATTTTCAATTTCATGGCAGAGCACGAGACCAGATCTCATGCGGGATGTTTTAGGGTGTTTCGGGATATTTCTGTACGTCGAAGAGGGCCCCAGGAGGTCGATGCGCGGCAACGGCGGCGGTGGCGGTGGCGGCGGCGGCGACCGCAAGAGAACGAGGAGAAGTCGGTAACTTAACTGGCCTAAATGGGTTTAACTCGATGTGATTTTGCTGGCGAACCACTAAATTGAACGAATACGAACTAAACTGAACTCAACTAAGCTAATCATATCACATTACTAGCGTTATTAGCCGAGCGACGATATAAGTGAAGGTCCGGTGAGCGCCGGACTGCAGTGTAACGCAGCCTCCTGCACTGACCCTCCGTATCCGTGACTTTCTCTCGCATCCGCGCGCCCGCCATCTTGTTTCTCGCGAGGTACAAACATGACCTACATAAATAACGCGTATTCATCCGCCGTTCCTGTTGCCGGATAGACCAGGTGATCAAGTTTGACCAAGGTGAATCGAAGAACAATCCGAGGCGGATTCGCGGTGTGATGATTCTCCGCCATCGCGTTTTCGCGCTTTTCGCGCCGCAGCGTACCGGAAGTACGCACGCCGGATGCGAGCCGTCGCGTCGCATCGAATCAAGAGTGAACGAGACTCCATATTGTTCTCGTAACATCAAAATTCGCAGATCACAAATATTCATGTTAAAAAATTGCGAGACATCGAACAAAATTTAATAAAAAAAAAAGAAAGAAATTATAAGAGATGATATTGTTTTGAATTTTTTTTGTATCTTTGTAACTTTTCAAATATTGCAACTCGCGCGTGCTTTCTGACCTTCATATCGCGAATTTGATTATCCATCAAAAGGAGACGGACAGTGTGCGTTTTTATCTCTTAAAATTGCTCGTTTGTTACATGAAGATTTTGCAAATAACTGTATTGGCGATGTGGACAAACAGATGGAGCGCGAGGAAAGAACAAGAACGTGGAGTACATTGTACAAGGAAAAAGACACATAATGCTCCCCACTCCATCTGCGACGTGGTTGGACGAAGTCTGGAAAGAGATAAGAAAAGAAGACAAGTGTGATACGTCGTTGCCCCACTACTTCGTGCGAAGAGGCGGCCTCTTCAGTTCCACCTCTTCGCATCACAGCTTCCATCAAATCAACCCTCGATACGTAGCGCAGATATTGTTATACATATAGATGACATATAGATTATTCTAAACTCTACTCTCTTTTTAGCTGTACTCTGTGCGACGTTCAAACTGTGATAAATGAAAAAAATAGATGTTTATTATGATAATAAACACATAAAGATAAAAATCTTATTATTAAAAATAAAAAAAGTAGTACAGCCGAAAAGAAGATATTTCTACATATCTATATAAATTATATGCAATATAATTACATCTTTTTTACATTTTACTTAATTTAACATTATTAAACAACTGACATCATCAAAGTCACGTATTAAATATGTTTCTTTTTAAATTTAATATATCAAATCGTTAATTTAAAGAATATTTAAAATAAACAATTACAACTTCTAATATAATTGTTAAGAATATAATTGTTAAGAATAAAAGTACAGATACAATAGAAGGAATATAAGAAATGATGATTTTAATGTATCAAATATACCGAAATATAGTTTCTAAAAGGTTGAAATCATTATTCCTTATTTCTTCTATTGTATTTGCATCCTAATAGTAGATAAATAAAAAATAATATAATTTATTCTGTATATACTATCCCTATAAATTAATCTTAACAATTACATATTTATATTTATTGCATATAATCCTTGTATAAGTTTCATGTACATGAGTTAATAATAATTTCATAAAATCCCCCAGTTTTACAAAAGACATCTCGATTATTGTACAAAATAATAATAACCGGAATATTGAAATTAAAGCTCGACCAAATTATTTGACATTACATTTTACTACAATTGTAAGAAAAAGTTAAGTTTTTGATGTAGATAAGATATTATAAGAATCAACGGTTGACAAATCTTAATACTGTTGTAAAATAAAATATCCTTTAATTAATATCATAACAATACTAAGTGCATGTAGAGAAGCATACAGAATTCTTGGATCACATAAGATTTCGCAAGTACAGACACGAGGTCGAATCTAATCTTCATGAGAGGAAATTTTGTCGGAAACACACGCGCATGCGAGAGAGATAGAGAGAAACGGACAAAGAGACGCAGATACTCGACCTCTGAACGGTAGACTTCTTTTTCTCTACACGTCATCCGTATTTTTTTTACGTCGTAGGTATGTCGTAGCGTTTAACGACGACGTTTAACGTACGGTGCTGCCCGCAGCGTCGGAGTCCGCCAATTGAGCCTGTTAACGCTCAATTGGTCTAAATTGCTTCAATTGGACGTAATTACGCGAAGGCGACGAGGAACCTCCGCCATGTTTCTCTCTTTCTCTTTCTTTCTCTTTCTCTTTCTCTTTTTCTCTGTGCCGCAAATATTATTCAACGAGATGCTACGTTCTCAAGCTCTTCCTGTCGACCACTATTGATATCGTACTTTTAACTGTCGATCGGTACAGCAAAATGAAATTTTTCTGCTAAAATCTCCCAGCAAGTTTTACAGCATAAAGCTTATAAATTATTGATAAAACAGTCTACATGTAAAGAGAGAAAGGTAAGAAAAAAATCCTTATTCTGGGCTCGTATAAGATATCAAATTAATCAAAAAAACATGAAATGATTGTAACGTATACGCTCAATACATCGGAAATCGTATAGGTTTATGTGATATTTCGCAATATCGAAAAATAAGACAAAAATTAAAAGACACGTTTCTCTATACTTGCGTCATAAATCATCGATTTTATGACTGGTAGCTAAATTACTCGGATCATATACAATAAAACGTGAAAATTTAGATATGCTCAAAGAAAGAATCAAGTTCTCTGTATTTCTAGTGTACAACTCAGCATGAGAATAAACTTGTCTTAATGTCTTATTTTTGACTTTTTGAAAATACGGGCTAAACGTAATATAGCTTCTAAATATTGTTAATAAATAAGATAGTTATAATCAATTTTAGGACATCTCAATTTTAATTTATTCTTTTCTTACTTTTAATATGTTTTTTACTATTTTTAGTACTTTTAGTATTTATTATAAATTATTTAAAAATATGTATATAATTATATTTATAAAATATATAATTGAATATAATACAATCAATGTGACAATACTCGATCTATATCAAGTATAATTGTACCACCATGAGAAAAAGAACAAAAATTTGGAAAGCTATAAAAATTGAACATTTCAAATTGATGCAACACACTTTATGAAACT